GAATCATGATCCACCTGTTCTTCATGGCCAACTCTTGGCGATTCCTTGATGTCCTAGCGCCTAGTCCAACTCGCAAACGAGTGTCCTTCAAATGGAGTGGAAAATCCCCTGAAAGGAAAAAAGCCGCAAAAGAGAGCCTAGAGTGGGCACCCCATGTCTTGTTTGGCGTGCCTCCGTTACCCGGACAACGGCATCTTCTTCTTTTCTTTCACCGCGATATCGCTTCCCTCCGCGAGGGGATGATAGGCCAACGGGGCGATGGGAATTCGAATCCTCGGGCATCTCGGTGGCTTTAGCACCGGATCAGGAACCTCAAAGGTAGGTCCTGATCGGACCGTCACATGTATCAGTATGACCGATTGCTTGATTGTCAGGGGAAAGCTCTTCCCGCTCCAGCAAAGTTATCGAAACTCTAGCTTCACCGGCAATAAAAATCGTTCATATATATTTGGCTTCTGTTAGTAGATGAAATCCCGAAACCATGTAATTCTATAGAGCATCCCAAAACAGAATCGACTTTTATTTGACTGCTTGCTACTTGAAGACCGGCTCTTCCGACCTGGGCAACGGGATGTGCTGACTACACTACGTAATGATCTGTAGAACATGATACTTTATCTTTGTAGAGAAAATAGGAGGCCAAAAATATATTACCTCAGGCTCACAATGCATCTTTGGGTTTCTTTCAAAGCGCCCAGCTGCTAGGGACCGCCAAACCGCCCGTTGCTTTTATTTCCGTTGATCCCACTCTCCATCGTCCTACTCTTAAATATATCTTTAATTTTAATTATATTTTACTCCTTGTACGCTTCAGCATTATAAATGGCGTTTTATTCATAAGTCCTAGTATAGTTAGTCAAAGCAGGAGAAAGCTATTGCTTGCCTTCATCCACCTTCCTCTTTCCATTTTGAAAATGTCAATCGTATCCTCCTCGTGAAAGCGCAGTCCATCGTCTGCCATATAAAATCTTTCACCACACCACCTTCTCTCTTCTCTCCTTCAAAAGGGGCATTAAGTACTCGCATAGTACAAAAGGTATGACCCATTCAGTCCGTGACCAAGATTTACCATGGCCCGATAGGCTAACACTCATTAATCTACAGCTTAAATATGGCGAACTTATCTATGGCCTGCCTACTTGCAATTTCTCTTGACCCTTCTTGGCAAGTGAGATATACTCCCTTCCAAACTGCATTTCGAACAACAAACTAACCAGTACAAAGTGGTCGAACAGTCCCTACTCTCACGCCAAATGACGAGCAGCTAGAAGAGCTGGGCAAGATCCACATGCGAGCGAACGAGAGAGCGCAACAATATAAATGGGCCCAGGGCACGTTTTCTGGTACTATCAGGTACTGATGGAAATAAGGGCAAAGCTTCATCATATGTGTCGACTCGTGTTCCATCAACTGACCAACGAGGAGCAAAACGACGAGCTACTGGAGCGTGGGCTATGAAACCCGGTCTGTTAGACGTATGGTAAATTTTAACCAGCGGATGGAAAGGTTTCTATTGTTTCGTACACTGCTTTTATGAACCTTAAAACAGCAATATGTATCCACGAATTCATTTCGATACATCCTCCACTAGTATAGCTTTGATATTAGTTTTCTAGATTAACCGGAGGATGCCGACTTGCCTCCGCATTTTGTATTGCTTATCCGTAAGGCCATCTTGATTAATCCCCTATCATATGTTTATCTTTTTCTTTTACCGTCTAGCTACATATATTCTTTGACAGAAGGAAATATCGCATTACTTTCATTTTCCCTACACATCATTGTTGCATGGGCCCTCTATCATATATCACTGTTCATTTGATTATATTTGAGTATATGGCTTAGTATTGTAACTGGTCCCTCCTTCTCGCATATAGTTATAAAGTGGTATTCTTTGGCCTTATCAGCCTTGGTGTTTGCATTTGGCAGGTGCGCCTTCCTCGTGGGGACGCAGTTCCTAATTGCTATTTAAGAATCTCTTTCTACTTTATTCTCTTCTCTCTCTTTCTTCTCTGACAACCGCATTATATACCTACGACTCACCAAAGGTATGACCCATTTGGCCTATGACCGCAACTTTTGATGAGATACTAAACCAAGGTCAGGTTGTCTACAGTTCAATCTAACGCACTCATTTCCACCATACTTTCACTCTCATCGAACCCTTGAAGAGTGGGATAAACACCATCCTAATCAAAGTTTCGACCAACAAGCTAACCAGTGCACAGTGGCCGAGCCTCGGCCTATTCCTACGCTAGATGAGCACCAGCTTGAGCAGCTAGCGCGGCTGAAAGAGTGCAGCGACGGGAAATCATCGAGAATCACTACCGCTATTGAGCGCATTGAAGCATGGATGGACCCAGTTTTGAACGACTATAATATGCTCGTCGGCATACGGACCTGGTTGATTCGCCTCAGATGACGACTGCTGCCTCGCCTTGACACCGGGGCCGAGACGGACGCTGAATTGGAGCAGGATATTTGGAATGAGGTCCTTTAAAATTACAAAAGATATAAAAGGTCAAGATTGAGCTATTTTGGTGCGCACTTCGTTGCGCAGAAGCTCCCTTATCAAATGGAGAGTTTGTTTCCCAGAAGGCCCGCTTACTCCGGTGACCCGCTTGGATCTTGTATTTGTTCGAATTGTTACCAGTACCGGAGAAACAGTCCAAATGGCGAATTACCGGATGAAGAATTTCGCAGGCTTGATCAGGGATCCTCAGTAGTCCTCCATATTCCCAATTTGCGAACAGAAATATGAATTAATGAATCCACTCACGTTTATCTTACAATCAGTAGAGTTTCAGGTCTACCTAGGTAGTCTTCTAGGCTCACCCGAGGTGAAGATCAGCTACCCTACGGTCTACAGGTTCTTGTCTTACTTAGTCACAAAGCCATCTCGAATCAGTATCACATAGGATATTTGTCTTGTTCTGTCACCGCGAGATATATATGTGGGTAGACATCAGTCATGTCCTACTTTGCTCTCACCTTTCATTAAGTTTATTTCTCACTCAGGGTTGTCTCAAATATCACTTCACCATCATATACGGTGGGTAGTATTTATATATCTTAGCTTCCTGTCCGCTATCTCCTTTTCGGTGTCTATGAAGCACTAGAGTCGGGCTTCATGAGTCTCGCGCTTAATCTTTGGGAGTGACAGTCTGAAATCTTTGATGAACACGCAGTTTCGCGCCATTTGCTACTTAACATCCCACCCACCACGCTCTTATCGACTTCCTTTCTTCCACCATCGCACCAACAACACCCATACTAATACTAACCATCACTAACTCCTCACATGATTCGTCTGCTAGCTACCCGATACGTCAAGATTTTGCTGCATTCACCGCCTATCGCCAACTTCAAACACCGCATTGCGTGCCCATAAACTACCAGAGATATAACCCATTCGGCCCATGAACAATATATCCGCGGTGAAGCAATCAGCTAAGCCTGGGTAATGTGAAGTGGCGACATATCGACCGATGCCAGCCCTACGGGATGAGGAGCTTGAACTTCTCACCGAGATCAGATGCTGTGCAAATGAACGGTCACAGGACCGCACCCAAATCTTTGACGAGCCATGTCACATCATGATGATGGCCCAAACGATTTTTGTACGAGCCTACCCCTACGACTCCCCCACCAGGAACACATTGTGGGCATTGCAAGCACCATTCTTCAATATAGCCGAACGTATTCGTTGGCTTTACCGACCTCGATTTTTTCGTTTGGCGGGTGCTCCTTCCTCCCGGGGACGCAGTCCCTAATTGCCATTCAACATTCGCCTCTGAATTTCTTCTCTTCTCCTTTCTCCTCCAGCCACATTGCGTGTACTTCTAATCTGCCAAAGGTATGACCAATTCGGCCTATGACCAAGATTCGCGATGAGGAGATAAGCTGACAATGGGTGTCTGACAGCTCAAGAACATTCCAAACTTTTCCAACATACTCCAACTAGTGAGATAACCCTTATTTGCGAACAAGTTTTTTCATATAAAGCCAAACGCAAAGTGGTCCAACCACATCCGATTTCCGTGCTCAATAACCAGTTGCTCGAAGAGCTGAACTAGATCTTCATCCGAGCAAACGAAAGACCGCAACAATACGTATGGATCCAAGAGACGGGTTTAGAGTTTTAGCTACGATGTGCCTCTAGTGGGTTCGTGTTGCACAACCGATACCAATGCCTTAGAGGTTGAGTTGAGCTTCAGGCCCGCTTAGAGCCCGTTTGGGCAATGAGGAGTGGGAGCATGATACTGAGAATCCTCCTTCCTTTGCACTACCTCGCTGGTCCAGTATTGACTAGAAAATGATAGGCTCTTATAGATAACAATACTTTTCGTCATTTGGCTTGGCTTTGTATCAGTAGACCTGTGAATTTCAGGGTTCAGACTATCTTTGTTGTAAAACAATGTACTTGCATTAAATTTTCTTTCTTTCAAGGTGTATATAAGTATCGTCAATTCTCACCTTGTTCTCACGTTTCGTTGAAATCTCCCCTTCGTTAGCTCTCTATTAGGTCTTACTTTGCTATCAATTATGAGATTCTATATACATATTCTCATTGTAACCTAGGCTTGATCTATCTAGGTGTGGAAAATGTTGATGTGCTGTTACCACTATTGCGGATACATTGGGTAGACATGACCAGCCTAGGTTTCTCTTTCCATTGTGAGCGTGAAAATATAATCTTGTAAAGATGCAGTCTCTCGATTGCTATATAAAGGCCTACCTACTTTTTCCTCTTCACTTCTCCAAACAATCACATTTTGAACTCACCACACACAACCTTAGACTCTCCGGGTAAAATCCCTCAACTGATTACTCAGACTCACAAAGGAAGATGAAGCTAATGGGTACTTGTTTCGCAGGTTGCCAGTCCACCAAATTTTTCGTAGAATACACATTCTCATATCACCACAATCACAGTGAGATACAACCCCTCAATGCTACCTCCCCAACCACAATTCAAACAAAAATCTGACGAGCCATAAATGGCGGAGAACCGCCAAATCGAGGCGCCTACAGATAGCCAGCTTGAAGAGCTTACGCTTTTACGGGTTAGGTTGAGCCAGCGCGCTCAGGCCCGCGCATTACTCGTACTTGAAGCGCAGCAACTTCTTGATTGCGACAATTTTCTAACGACATTGAACCAATACGTGCTTCCACCCCCGTTACTGGAATATGTACAAGAAATTCTAGAACAGCGATGGGCGCTCCTATTAGACGTACTTGAGCAAGTGCGTCTGCAGGAGGAGCAGGACCAGGCGATGTTGGGAATGTGGGAGGATTAAAGTAACACAAAGCGAATCTACAGCCAAATATCAAAATTGAATCTTCATGGAGAAATCGAGCAGATCTCAAAGCTTCGACTTCCCAACACTCATAGCTTGTGAAGTGACAGTCTGCTACCCATTTTGCTATATTAGCTCCATCCAACAGAAGCTCAGATACCATCCCCAGGAACGTCCCCTTTCCCGGTATTCACTTTGGTCGTTCGCAAACCCTTCTCGATTCCTATTTACCATAACACTTAACTCTAAGGTAAAATCCCTCCACTTATGACCAGGACTTTCGAGGGGACAAAAGGCTGACTAGTAGTGGTCTTTACAGGTTGAGAGAAACTATTCTGATTCACACCATCTTTTCCGATCCCTCATATTATCTACCATACCAGTGAGATACGCCCCCTCAATGCTTTTATACTCAATTGCGTTTTAAATACATAGCTAACAAGTAGGAGATAGCGGAATCCCAGCCGATCCTCGCGCTGACTAACGAGGAACTTGAAGAGCTGACACAGGTACGAGTCAGAAGAGCCCAACAAGCTAGGGCTCGGGCGATACTTATACAGGAGGCTCAAGAGATCCTCGATTTCCACAATTTCCTAGAAACGCTGAGTCAATATTTGCTCCCACCTCGCTACTTACAATATGTGCAAGCCATTCTAGAACGGCGATAGGGGCTCTTACCGGACTTACTGGAACAACTGCGTCTTCAGGAGGAGCACGACCAGGCCTAGTTTGGAATGTGGGAGGATTAAAGTGATAAAAAGTGAATATACAGCCAAATATTAAAATGGAATGTTCATGGAGAAACCGAGCAGTTCTCAAAGTAGCGGGTAAGCTCCGACTTCCCAACACTCCTAGATCGTTAGGATATAGTCTACTACCCCATGTTGATCCTGCCAGGCCTAATCTGTTGCTTACGCGTCCAAGAACAGCAGGGTCAGGAGACGCTTTGCATCTAGGAAAAATGATAGTACAGAGATCAAATCACCTTTCTAAGTGAACCACTCAGCTTGGGAACATTGTCGAGCAATAATATCATCATGTCCTTTAGCTTCCTTTGTTGACAGTGGAGATACAAGGTTAGATTTCTAGATCAACTCGAACCTAGTATCGCAGGGCAGATTCATTCAGCTCCAATTTTTTCTTCTCTTCTTGTAATGCTTTCTCATTACAATATGGAATTAGGCTCATCTTTGATGAGGATTATTTTTTTCAGTTCGTTCCCTAATCAGGAATTTGCTACGCTTCCCTTTTGTCACTCGGAAGCTCCCATGCTCTAAGGTTGGGCTCATTGCAGAAAGCCATCCCAAGTGAGCCTATTTTACGGCCATAGATACCTCTCTGATTTTGCTCTTCCTTCTTCTTCAATTAAATCTCATTTGCTGGAAATTATGACATCTAAATGAATATTTTCTCCGTATAACTAATGACAGGTATATAAAGATGTTGAAGGTATGGCTATCACCATGAGGGAAACATTACTTAGAGCCAATGGTATTCTTGCTAGTTTGAAGGGGGCAATCGCACCTTCCTCGTGAAGCCCTACTGACTGGATTGGTATTTAAGCTCCCCCCTCATATCCTTTACTCTTACCTTCAGCAAAACCTTCACCAAGAATCCCATTTGCCACCCACAACCTTTGACACCAAAAAGGTGAAATCCCTTGGCTCATGACTGCAGCTTTCGATGAACCAAAGGCTAACTAGCACTGGTTCCTCTGCAGTTTAAACATTCTGTCAGCAACAAAACAGTGAGATACCACGCTCGATTCTCCATTTCTAACTGCTTTCTAAACAAAAGACTGACAAGGAAGAAATGGCGGACAATCATCATAGCGAGGCAGCGCCAGGTGATGGAAATCAATCCCAGCGGCAGCAAAGGGCCATTCACCGAGGTCGCGCACTCACACGGATCCTGCGCGGAATACAAGAGATTCTTGGGTATTGCAACTTTGTTGCGAGGAACCCGTACCACTTCTCCTCCGAACACATGGAGTCGGTTGACCAATTCCTACAGCCGAGATGGGCGGAGTTGGTGCGTCAACTTTATATCATAGCGCTTGAAGAATATGCGGACAGCCATCTAGCTGATGCATTGGAGCATTGAGAGCACAGTAAGATTTTCAAATCTCATTTCAGCGGCCTGGTAGCCAGCCCGCACGCTTTAAAACAAGCACAATACTTCATCCCGGAGTTGCTAACATCGAAGCTGTCAAAGAGACGTACCCAGTACCCCGCAAAAATGAAATCTCCAGTTTTGAGAAGGCAAGCGACATATCACAGTCCTAGACGCAGACGCTTGGCTCTACCAGTGGCGAGTCCACCCAGATGACGTCGGAAGGCTGGAAGGTGATAACCGACAGAGATCACGAAATTTTTGAAGTAGTAGCGATAGACCACTACGATTACATAGCCTGCGTGCAAAGAGATGAATACGTCTGTCTTCGGCTTTCTGTCCTACCAGTAACACTTCAAATCAGCCTTACACATGATTCCAACCCGGATATTATTACAAGTTCAATCTATGCGTCTATGGATATCTCTGCAGCCACTGAGTACCGTTGGACAGAAAATGGCTATCGAGGTCTGGTCTTCTAGTATTTCCACACGTCAGATACACTCGTAATACCTCAGCACCAAATTAAGGCTCTGATGATTTTCTTGTCACACACGCATTCCCCTGTGCAACAAGTTGTCTGGATCCCTCCACTCGAAATGAGCAAAAATCCAGGATTCTAATTAAGAAGTTACTGGAATCGAGTTACAAAAAACTTCAAATTTGTCAGTTCGCTGGCCCGCATGATATTCGCATGTTCCAAGAAACCCCATTCTCATTCTACTCGATGACATATAATGAGAACCGCCGAACCAAAAAGGTCCTTTGTCGTGGGAATACGGATTGCTGTTTCTACTACTTCGGGCTTAAAGAAGTGCAAGCGATCAATCTCGTTATTATCGAAGCAAAGCATGCAGATTGGGGATGGCCAAATTCTTGCGTACATGTCGATAGTGTAGTCAGAACGACGCAAGAGAAAGCAATCCGATTGAACATTATAGGGTTGCTTAACATGGTGTTCTGGGTTTCGTTTCTTTGAAATCAATCATCATGGTGAGTGGTCGTTGACCACATTGTTCCTTGCTCACTTTTTGGACCATCGAGGCTAGTATCACCCTACACATGACTACGGCTTTCGATGAGGCAAGACGCTAGCCACCTCCAGTTCCTCTACAAGCTGAAGGTTCAATCAACAAATCAATGGAGACGCCTCTTTGAGGGATCAGTCCGACACATCCTTTTTATGCTAGGTTCTCAACCGCGCTCCAAGCATATAGCCAACAAGGAATATATGGCAGACAGCCGCTACATCCAGACACCCACGAACGGGCAACAACAGGCCTAGTTGCTGGTCTGGGTATTAGGCGAGATCGTGCTCTCGCACGCATCCTTCGTGGGTTACGAATGATCAATGGATATTATGCTCATATCGCCACTAACTCACACCCATTCTCGCCGGAACACCTAGAATCATTGGACCGAGTCTTGCAACGGAGATGGGCAGACCTTATGGATCTGATCAACGACATAGAAATTAAAGAACTTCTGGACGGCCAGTTACTTGGTGCATTGGAGGAGTGAGGGGAGGACAGTGATCAATTACCTCTCTCGTTGAGACGCGCCGGTAATGAAGCATGGGTATCCTGTGAATAGCTTGACTAAAAAAGAAAATCGAACTGATCTCCGTTGTCATCTGGCTAATAATCATAATTACTCTCCCTTTCTAGTCTAAGAGAATAGTCAACTCTCACCAATCATAACACGCTATTTAATGAGGTGGTTCTCGCAGTATCTTTGCAATCTATCGTACCACCAATAATCAAAATGGTGATTGAGGCAGTCATAAAAGCATCTGAACTTGAATGGTTCATTTTGTTTGTCTTGGGGAAAACCATCAACTTAGATCTCTCGCACAACTGGACATCACTTTGTGTTCAGATTTCCATCAGTTTAACACATAAATATAGGCGAGCCTTTTCCAACGGGGTATCCGGTGAAGTCGGGCTCGCGTAGGAGCCTATTATATATTCCCGATGCTGCGGCCTTCCGATCTAGGACTTTGGCTATATACTGGTAGCAACATACTTTGAGGACAACCCCCAATGTTCCCTTCCCTATTTGGCACGGATATATATTAGGAGGGGGAAAGACCTTCCCACAGGAGATCTCATCATCTAAGAAGGATGCAAATCCTGCGACAAGCGAGGGAGATTCTCTGTTTACTAAATCATTCCAGCTAACCAACACCATCTCCCCCACACACTTGTTACCGGTGAGCCAGGTCTTAGATCAGAGATGTGCGACTCTTGTTGACGTGAAGAAGAGTTTGACGGCCATTCACTGGTGCTATGCGGGAAGTACGAGGAGTGGGAGAGAGGAGTGATGCAGAATCGAACCCGCTACGACGCTCGGGTCGTGAACCACGCCCTCATCTTCCGACGGTTAATCTTGACTTCATTATATTACAACCATCAAGAGTCCTGTTTGTTATCTCTCAGATGCCACAGGCTCGCCATCCCATAGTTACTGACTATATAGTCAGTCACCTTTCCCAGTTTGTACATTAACTCTCTAACAATCTACACATTGTATACCATCGTCTACCATCATAGACATCAACAAGTCCCATCAAGTGCAGCTTGACCAGTGAGTCGCAATGATGCTACATTTCTCATCAAATTTTAACAAAAGGCTCACAATCCAAAGGGAGGACCATGTATTCCACCTGGAGGCTTTCTCCTGAAAACTATCAGAAGCAACTACCGATCACTACACCCCGCAAGCCTTCCCTGTCTACATATTTCCTACGTGTATCAAATCGAATCTGGGAGACCAAGATATACAGCTACCGCTTCACTTTCAAGGTCAGCTTTGTTTTTGGCACGGTCAACCCACCTCCTATACTCCCGTTAGCTGCTGTGAGCGTGAGTTTTGATTTTGGAATTCCATGATAAAGTATTTCCTGGCAAAGACTGACAATCCCCGGATTTGATTGGTCAACTAAGACGGACAACGCTTAAGTCTAGAATTTGCCCCGATTTCTTCTTATTGATACTACAGTGCATTTTATTAGCTGCATCAAGGAAGCAAGAATCGCCGCTAATGCTTTTGGAGACCAGCCGGCGAACATGGACCAAGGAGTGGCCTGTCTTCATCGACGATGGGGTCAAAACATTGTCCCAGCTAGAACCAAATTGACTGAAACTACACCAAAATTAGTCTCTGGCTTGGACTAACATAAAATGCCGAATTCACGGCTCGCAACATTGCATGTGTAAAAACGAATTTGGATAATCATGGGCCATCAGAGCCTCAGAGGTAATCAATTTTCCAACCTCCGGAATCTTTCGCCAGCTGCTCAAACCACTTCCTCCCAGATGTGCATCTCCTCCTCGGCATCCATTTCCTCCTCAGCCTGCAACTGCATCAATCGTTGCTCAAGGCGATGCAATTCGTGGTCCATGTCCCAGAGCAGGTTTATGTGAGTCTGGTCGAAATATGGATATTCGGCAATCGTGGCCTCCGTTTCATTTGCGATGAGCCCCATCTCATGATGTATCTTGCTGCGCTCTTCGGCTCGACTATGAGCACGATCGGTGAGGATTGTCAGCTTTTCAAGCTGTTCATCGTTAGGCGTCGGGATACGGCGAGGTTCCGCCACTTTAGACCAGTTAGCTGTATGCTCGATACGTGGGAGGGAGCCTATCTGACTGTTGAGTGATTATTGTATTTGGTGTGTCTGAGTATCGACGTGGTTTAACCTGCAATGTAAGCAGAGTCGTGGTTAGCTCATTGTATTGTCGCAAATTCTTTTTGTAGGCTAGGGGGTCATACCTTTTGGTTTTACCTGCTTGGTGGCAGCAGGTTTGGGATGTGATGGTTGAAGAAGTTGAAATTCAAACATAAGGTGGGATCTTAAATAGCAATCCAGGGACCGTACCTTCCTATGGTGCTATTGTCGTTTACAAAATGAATACAACAATGCTCGTGCAGCCTGATCCATACCTCCCAAGCAGCTATAGCCATAATCTAACTTTGTCATCACTTGTATGACTCCACATCTATTGACGATGTAAGACCATATCAGAGCTACATTTTACATAGGACTGATAGAGCAATGAACTGAACGAAAAGTGAGACCAAAGTGAGCCTAATAGCATAATTTTGTGATTACCTAGTATGTCGCGACATAACAGTTCGTTCTCCATGTTACTACCAGTTCTTCAAATAAATTAGTGTCTTCAACTAAAATTCATATTAACGGGATAGTATTCTATCAAGAGTGAGGAAAGGAAAATGTGAAGAAACATCATCACCAGTGGCTAGCTGGTGGCATATCGGAGGAAGATTTCAGGTCCAGGGATGCAGCGAGATTTCCGGACTGATCAGTTCAGCTATTTCTGTAGATTTAGGGCTGTTCTAGCTGGAATGGAGAAGGGACGGCATCATCAACGCTGTCGGGAAGCTCAAATATGAAATGAAGGGCTAGATGAGTCCAACCTTTGCATTTGCATCGCGCTATGTATATATTCATGCAGTTTACACTTCGTAGTCGATATTCACAGCTGATATAGGCCAAAGCAGAGGAAGAACCCTTGACCTGGCCTGTGAGTTTGAAATGTCAAGTATATATATCATTCGGCACCTCTTCCCATCATTTCCTTGGACCTATTCTCTTCCTATATAAACAATAACCCCGACTAGCCTCCTTTAGATTCCAATTCAGGACCTCGATAGAAAGGTATGGTCGAACCACCCAAGAACCGGATGCATACCCCGTAAGAAAGAAATCCAGAGGAACCGTAGTTTCAATGCACTAGATTTCAGTGGCACAATGAATGAAAGATCAAGCTTTTGTTTTGGCGATGTTAGTGGCATGGCGGTTGATGATCGGCAGGGGAAGATCGAAGATCATGTTGACGTCATATCACAAGAATGCCAATTATCTTGTCAGGGAAGATCTCAACCGCGCAATCATATACTGGGATTAGAGAAGAATTTAGTATTTATGTTTGCGTGTTGAAAACCCTGATGTACCAGAAAACAGAAATGTATATGGAATTGGGTAGAATAAAATTCACAGTCCACTCAGTGGAAGAAAGTACAGAGTAGAAAGTAAAAGGAGATCAAATCAGTAGCAGTGTCCAGTGCTTTTGATCTCAGATATAGCCAGAGATCTTCCAAGGTTGGAGATCGGTTTCTGTACATCGTATCCGCCTGCTGCTGTACATCGAAGTTCAGGCAGAGTACAACTCAGCAGCTAAAAGAAACACTCCTTCTCAACCGCCAGTGATTTGCGGCGGGTGTTTGAGAAAGAGATGAAATGTCTAATCGTCGTCCCAAAGGGAGAGCGTTGGTGGAGGAATGGAAACAAAAAAGGCACCATAACTCCATTCCCCATAATGACCCAGTGTGCCTTGAAATTGAGAAAAGAAGTAATCCGAATTTAGCGAGGAGAAGAAAAGTAAAGGGTATCGCAAAGCGTAGAAGAGGTGGAAGAATCGTGTCAAGCGTCATTGACACTCAGAAGCCAATAGAGATCATTAATCTAGGACAAGGTCAGGAAGGCTGCGTCAACACGTGTGATCTGTGGGGGTACTTACAGTGGACAGCTCCAGGAGTCAGAGAGGGGGGAATCGCAGATTCAGTAGGGGGTGATGGTCGACGAGCGAAACGGGGATCCACGTCTTCATAGTAAGTGGTACCGCTGTTGGTGGGTTGCAGAGGTTGCCCCGGCGGGCGCGGGGATGTACGAGGATCATTTCCACTCCAGGCCGAGCGAGGAGGAACGTAGGAACTAAACATAGAAGGTTAGTGGTCAATTTAGTGACAGTATTTGCAAATTTTCGACTTACCCAGGTCGACTGTACATGCTTGTCGGACTTTCCGGGGCGGAACTGTTGATTTCAGCTGACAGCGTTTGTGGTACGCTGCTCATTGGTTGAGTCGACTCATGCATATCGTACTGCGGCCGATGTTGCGGAGTCATCTCAATGGCTTGGCCTACCGTCTCCGGTGACACGGCCATGCCAATAGGACCAGGAGATGGCTGGCGCATCTGACCCGGTGGCCCATAGCTATAATGGTCATCCGTGGGAGGCGACACAGATCGACCGTATGCGTCAAACCCGCGATTGGGGCCGCCTGGACCGGGACCATAGCCCGCTGGGGGTCCTCGAGGTGGCATCATTCCACCACGACCTCCACGGCCTGGCATTGGCCCCGTGTAGCCACCCCGGGAGCCAGGGGAAGGGCCACGTGGAGGTCCCATGTATGGTCCTCCGCGTCCACCACGAGGTGGATATCCACCCCGCCCGCGTCCATTGAAGCCAGGCGGCGCTCCTCCTCTTCGAGAACCCATACTACCATCGGAGTATTGGGGGCGGATTCGCGGATCAGAGTGGTTCCGTGACACTGGTGCAGCACCGTACGCGCCCGGTCCCTGAGGTGGGATATTGGCAAATTCATCTTGCGGAGCGGGATAGGGAGCACCGCGATGCTCCGGGGGTGCTGGAATATCGCTCATCGGTGTCCGCGTATTGAGAGGAGTTCGGTCGTCATCACTGTCGCGCGTGTCAGTATGGAAGGATGCGAATGTTGGGCCCGAGTCTGAGTTGAGAGAGTTCGACACGAAGGCTTCCTTGGGTTCGACAGGATCCGGAACGGGGGGCGCAGCCACAGCTACAGCGGCGTTCTGTCGGTTGTAATAGTTCTCCCCGCTCATTTCGGCATTTTCCGCGATCCGGCGCTTTCTTGCCTTCCTGCTCACAAGGGTGCGGCGCATAGCACAGGTGACCACTCCGCAAGAAGTGAGGATGATGGTCGCGACCAGCACAATCCAACCACCCCATCCTAGATGCGGCACAAAGAGCAAGATATCGACGAGGAATGCAAGGAGAGTCACGAGTAGGGTTGGCAGCAACAAGATGAGGAGCGCCAAGAGGAACCGCGGCGAGTGGGAGGGCGCATGGAAGTGGGCCGCGATCGCCAGGCAGAGGCAGATGAGAGTTAGGAAGGCGGCGACTGGGTGGATTATGAGGATCGCAGAGAGTGACTTTCGAGCACTGGAAGGGAGATTGAAATCATCGCCGGTGCTACTTATATCATCTGCATGAAACTTAGCGGAGCGCAGGCAGAAACGTAGGCGAGAGACTTACTGCTCGTGTATCCCACATGGATATTGGTACAGGCGCTACCCTTGCAATATCCAAAGACACCATAATCGACATCTTTGAAAGTCGCTAGAGGAATTCCCTTAATAATAGGGGTTGAAAGACATGAGAGTAGCAAAAGCGCAAAGGCGATCAGCAGTAAGATGGTGAGGGGTGTCGCAGGCTTGAGCAACATGGTGAGGGGAGACCCTGGAGGTCAACCTTGCGTTTTTTTCCAGGCCAGGGGAAAAATCAGATAGAAACGAAATAAGCGATTAATTTTAATGGCCTAATGGCACACGCGACGCAAGAGTTGAGGTTCTATCTCCGCATTGGCAGGGGACATCCGAACCCGAGATCGAAACGAAATCTTTCAAGGCAAAGAAGTAGAAGGGGAAAAAGAAGCAAATGAGGGGAAAAGCCAAGAATTTCAGAACCAAAGGGAATTTAAAGAATCACAAGAATAAAGGAATAAAGGAATGACAAGAGTGCAGATAAGCCATTGGGAGAATCCGTGGGGAAGAGAGAGGAGGTTTGAATATCTGGCCTTAGGCACCAGTCAGATGATCCCATTTTGTTTCTACGTCTTGCTCTCTCTGCTATCCTACATTGCTTCTATCATTTCTCTATGATATGAAGATTTTCATCCTCTCTTGGCCTCCTCTTTCAATCCCACTTGGAGATTCCAACGTGAGGCTAAATGGGATGCCTGCTGCACGGTTCTCCTCTCTAGAATGCCGGGGTTGTTGGCGCAGAGCTGTTCTGCCTTCTCATTCGCTCTGCCCCGTCGAAGCGCCACTTCGGGACAGGTTGCCAAGCCCGGGCGTCGGAGTAATCATGGGCAACGCCTAGGGCAATTTCGAGCTTCTTGGTACACATGATCATTGGCTATACCCGCTGGCTATTTTGCCAACTTCTTGGGTCCTTCTTTATTGTACGGATCAAGGAAACAAGACTTCCTCTGCCGTGTCCGATTGGGTCCTGCTTTTGGTACCAAGTGACCATGAAGCTCATTTCTTCTTTCGGGTTAAAGACTTCAAAGAGCCAAGATATGTATGTTGTATGTATGGAGTACATGGTTTCAGAAGCCTCATCTTATTCATGGTGAAACGAGAGCCCGGTTTCTGAAATATTTTCATATGACATCCAATAGTCATATGTCGCGATCCATCAATGAGCACACCCTTCAAACAGAGCTCGCAATCTCGCAAGCCACACTCTGATCCACTAACGCGGCACAGCAATTCTACGTTCAGTCGGGAAATTTGGGTCCAAAAAACGCTTGGACCGGACTTTAACACCGTTGGAGTCCCACCTTTTTTAAATGAAACAGGCAGTCTCCACCGCGAAGCTAACTCAATTCTCAAACTTCATTCCATTTGCTAGAGACCAGATAAGGCTAAGCGCCTTTGGTGAATGACCAGTGGAAGTTCGTCTGTTCATGCAAGGTACTGCACAGGCTCTCTCTGAGCGCAGTTGATCTTCAAGTCATTAAGCTTAAACTTGTGACCTCACAGATCAATGGCTTCCTGGTAGGGTTTCACTGCCGTTCCACAGTCGTGTGACCACTTATAACTCAGAGACACCACTACATCATTTGACCTCTGAGGGACTGCTTAGTGGAATGAACGCCGTGTCTCTCAACGACGGTGTTCAACATTGAATTTTGGTTATATAAAATGGACATCGTCCAGGGCTGTTCTCGGTTCTAACCAATCTTTGCTCATATTGACTTATAGGGGCTTTAATAAAGCGTACAAAAGCTACAGGATCTTGCGATGTTACACATGATGATAGAGTTGCAATTCTTAGACCTAGGTGCATGTGGTTATCAGCAAAAGCCATAAGCACTTTACCCAAATTTCAAGTGTGTGACTAACCTATCTCCAAGGGTTGACCAAATTGATATGTACAGACGTCCCGCAGTTTCTTCTTATGTTTCCCTATCTTAATATGATGGTGATCAGTCTGACTGTTTCGGGGAAATTGAAGGTTCATGGGTCGTACAATTTTTGCGTAACCCAACCTGTAAATCACCGCGAGGCACCGTCTAGTTAGGCGTATAACTAGCTACCATTCCCGAATGTGACAGGGTTTTTGCACAACCGCTGAAATTTAATAGAAGCCTTGAACCAAGCGTAAGTTGAATCCATCAAGATACCACAGGCTAGAAGACTAAATTGATGAACTGCTCGCTCCAAAGTTGTTCATCTATTCCACGTGCGACAGGACATGCGCTGCCTATGGAGGTTTTTCAGTTGGCCAAAGCGGCAAAAATCCGACGACGAGGAGGGGCAACCATTGGAGACCTTTGACAGGGTAACTCTGGTTGAGTCATTGGAGAGCTCTCGGCTCAGCGGGGTCCAGGATACCCGGTCGACATCTGGTTTACAAGAACGCTATGTCAGATTCGGAATTGGAGGCGCTGGCAATATGCGCAAGTCCTGCTTCCCTTTCCTGGGTGTCCATGGGCTCTCGAGTCCACTAGGGTTTCGTCTTACTAACATGACATTTATGAACAGAGTACTTTCCCATAATGGACGAGAAATACGAATAAGTTCACATTGAATGGCGTTGGAATTTGGATTTGGCATCAACACCATGATAGAACCATGGATTCCCGTCAAACCAAGTTGCAGAGCGTAGCGAATCAATGAGCCCTTCCCTACCATGGAGTAGTAATAGAATAACAGGGGAAGATGGCAGTACTTCAATATTGCCGGAGTTCGATCTTCATTTTTTGCACGGTCTTAGGAAGAGCATAGGAGACTTTCTATACAAGTGCCAAGCTAGCCACAACTGTGAGCTACTAGTAGGTTTAAATATTGGAAACGTGATGACACACACTCGTGCATACCTATTCTGCAGTGTTTTGCTAAGTAGAAAGAGATATAATACAAACGCGGCAAAGCCCCACCACTAGATAAACTCCTCGACTTAAACCGCTGGCATTGCGTCTTTTACATCACGCAATTTTCCCAGACGACATATAGCGCTGCGTGTAGCAGGTGATTTAATAAGGGAAACGTCTCATCGCCAAGCAAAGTGTTTGTTACTCTCAGATGCCACATGCCATCCCATAGTACTACTGACTATATAGTCAGTATCCTTTCGTAATGTGTACATAACTCTTACAATACACACATTTTAAATCACCATCTACTATCGTAGACATCAACAGAAAGTATGATTCATGACAGCTGGTATTGGCGAAGGGGGGACGTCTGTCTTGACTCTGTGGCGCTCTTTGGGTCCCTTACGACGACGCATGGAATCGGCAAATGCGGCCGCGTACCGAGCTGTAAAATGCATTCGTTAGTTGATACTGACGTATGGAAGGGTAGAGGGTTGTCCTCACCTCATAGATTGACGCCACAATTGAATCGCTTGACGTGCTTACAGGGCCAACGAGCGCTCCTATGAACAACCAAATAGTGATTATTTGTTCCCTGGGGGGGGGTCAATTATGCCTTGCAGCAATCTGGGTGTTGGCATGTCCATCTTGCCTCCACAACGGACAGCTTCGGGAGCTTGTCCAACCCAGGTATCGCTTCTCTGTCCACGTCTTTAAGTGGAATTTCTTGCGATATCATCGGCCATGCCGCAATAAACCCCTCTTTTGGTTGAAATTTGCCATGCGCCTTCATAGAATGCGTTGCCGCATTGCCTGGCAAAAGAAAGTTTTATCGCAGTTTCCATCAAGCGCGCGTGGACAAGAGAACTATTTCTGAGCCTTTTGACCCTCAATACCTTGTGCGTGGCGAATAGCATTACTCTTGTTGGTTCTCGTCTGACTTCCTGCCAGAATAGAGGTGTTTGCTTTTGACAAAGGTGATACCATGAACAAGCCCACGGGAGACTAGTTGTCCCGTTTAGCCAACGAAGAGGGAGACCACACTAACTCACGGTTTCCACCGTGCTATATGAGATCCAGGTCAGCGGAGTGTCGTTGGCGCTGTACGCAAGGCGCTGTTCTCATCTGCATATCATGCAAATCGAAGCTCGTGTTATATGGGTGTGAGGGAAACTTCAAGCCTGATTCGAGGCCATCACTGAGACACTGGTAGTATTCATTAGCTATGTTCGATCGAGAAAGATTTGTATTGTATCATACATACCTCCTAACAATCCTTCGTGCATTATATATGGGTCAGGGATTAACGTTTACGAATAGTAAATAGAAATGTATCTGATGATGATATATTCCAGTGCTGCCTCTGGGTGGCTATATTGGTTGACCGCTTGGAGAGATTGTTGGAGATGAAGAACACCCACTAAGATGAAGCTATTTATATACCATTATGGAGACTAAGAAACAGGCCTTACAAAAAGGCAAACAAGGGGCAAATAAAATTTAGGACATGCACTGCCCAAGACGCCAGTCACATGAGAGAAATACAATCAGAACATGTATATCGCGCCTGGGAGGCTGCGATAGGACCCAGCACCAACTGTTAGAAATAGCACAGTGTGGGCATACAACCTATTGAGCCCAAGAAGAAAAAACGAGGAGTGAATGCAGGCACCGATATCATGGTCCCACGGGTTATGCATAAAGCTCGACATGTGACGGCAAGTAATGAATTGAAGGGGACCCTCTTGAAACGTTGAGGCCCAAGATATGGCATGACATCCAACTAATCCAAGGAACTTAAAAAGGCCAACGGAGCTGAGAGAGCCTTACAGCCTATAAGTCAAAGTTTCCCAAATAGTATATGCCAAGCTTCAAACAGAGCCGGGGAAGCACATGTGGTCGTTGAAAGAGGCAGACAACTTTCAAATTTAGCGTCTAATAACAAACGGCATAATTATCCATATTGGTCTCATTAATTCTCAACTCCGAAGCCTCTTGAAACAATCATTCATAGCAGATACTATTTGTATTAGTTTCAGTCAGTTCGTTCATCTGTGGCAACTGGGCTGGAGCCAGAAAGATTCGTTTAAACCAGAACACGTATGAGCACCCCAAACACTGTCTAATAAGAGACAATTGTACTCGATAATATGTTTCATACTGCCCTGGATACAGCCTTATGTTTTCATGTGGTGTTCAGCGGCCCGCGAAGCCCTAGTTCCAGCCACTGATACCAGCAAGGGAGAAAAGCAATTACAACACCACGCTGCATCATTGAACTGGGACCATTGACAATTTTTTGAAAACACCCTGCTTTTTTATTGCGTGTAGCAGCAATCTAGGATAGCAATTGTTGGCAATTATTGCCTTGGTTCTCCAGTGTGGGACTTTTTACGGGGATGCCAGGCAGAGTCTAGATTGTTACATTGTAGTTCTCGTCTGGCAAGACATACAGGGCTGTTGTTGAAATTGTTACCATGGAGATTTGGAACAAGTGAGATTGAAATTAAAATTTTGAAACAGAAGACGATCTGGTGTGAGACGTGGTGAGACTTAAGGAGATCGCAAAAAGGCCAAGCTTTAGGCGATAGATGTGCTGGTGATCGGGCCGCGAAACAACTCAACCATCTCCATAATTGTTCCTCGAATTCTCATTCGATATAATTTGTACTGTGATTCATCAAATTAATGGTATCTGAGTTGAAAATCTTCATTTTAATTCATCCCTATTGGCTTGTTGAGTGTAAACCTCGACGTGGTGGCTGGGGTGGCTGGGAAGCGTCACCCAGCACTATGGCAGACAAAAACCCGCTGGGCAGCGATTGCTGGTTCTCAAAAAATCCCTTCCTATCCCAAGGGCGTCGAGGAATGCTTCTAGATTGATTATAGTTGCGCGTGGGATCAATATCCAGCCAACATGACGAACCCGATCAGGAACTTCAGCCTGCGCAACGTTAACAGTACGTGCATATAAGAACCCCCGCCCCGCTGCCTTCTTAATTACAGACAGCGCACAGCTTTCAGAAGACTCAAGTCAACTGACTCCTATATAGCAAGCAGGCCGCAACTTGCCCGGACAGAATCTCAACAATCCGAGGCTGCTTCAGACGACTACTATTCATTCTCAGATCGAGCTCCATCTAGTCCTGAGAGTCTAGCAACAATCATGCGATTCAGGACTCCAGACTCCCATGCATCATCACCCGCCATGTCGCAAATAAATCTCGCCCAAGAAGATCTCGAGTCCCAACGCCCACCAACATCTAGCACAGTCCGCTTCGTAGAAGACAGACCGGCTCACATCAGTCCTATATCCGATAGCGCAAGATCATACGAGACTTCCCGTCGATCTCCAAGTGACTACCCGGGGCCAGCTCCAACCCCAGGCCTGGACAATTCTCCATACGTCCGGTTTGCAATCGACCAACTCACCGAGGATAGAACTCGGGGAGTCCAAAGGACTGACTCTATTTCCACCACGACGACAAGTGACTATCCAACCGACAGGTTGGTATGGGACGAGGGACTTGGTTATTTCACCCGCACACGCACCCCCATTCGACATGACACGCCTCCAGTGAGACCATCGTACACATCTCCTTCCCCACAGGCTTTGCCGCAAAGGCCAATGTCAGTGGACCCCGAGTCATTCATGGCTGTTGATGCGCCAGAGAATAGCTTGCTGTATCCCCGCTTGGACTACTTGCCTCTTCCTCTGCGGCCGTGGGCTTTGGCGCTCACGATATTTTGTTGTCTGGCGATGATGGCAGGTATAGTGTTTTGCAATGTTTGGTCCCGTGGCGAAGAGGGATTATGGAACTACCTGCGTCAAGGTGACTCGAGGTATTTTGTGCTTCAGTTCCTACCACAGGTCGCTGCCGCGCCCATAATCATCTGGTCATTTGTCATTCAGGCTGCGGTATATCGCATAGCTCCTTTTTCTATCATGTCAGCAGAACGACAGGAAGGTCTGGTAATGAAAGGCCTGCCTATCCTCTCAAAAAACTTCATCTTCCCCGACTTCTCCCATTTCCGACATGGGGAAGCCTTGTTCGGATTCTCTCTGTTCTCAATTTGGCTTTCAAACTTCTTCGCCATCCCTCTCCTCAGCTGTCTCTTCCAGGCAAAGCACTATATCATCGACGGAGAAGGTGTCTGGAGATGGGCTTCAGTTCAATCTGTGGGCTGGACATTAGTGGGATTATATGGTGTTTTGACATTAGGCCTGATGATGCTTTTCGTCCGTTTCCTTCGTGGTCGGTCTGGTTTGATGTGGGATCCCGTCAGCCTCGCAGATTTGATCTCGATCATTCAGCGGTCAAACATCCTCCATGATTTCGAGCACTCTGAGACAGTCCCATCAGTACGAGAATCACTTGATCCCCGAGTTCTTCGACTGGGGTACTGGAAACTCTCAAGCAAGACTGAGGTCTTCTACGGAATCGGCGAAGTAGATGCCCCTGTGCGCACCCCATCTCTCCACCAGACCGGCAAAAACCCGGAGAACCAACCACACGGACTTGCCAAAGTTCGCTTTGATCTTGAGGACAATGAGGCATTTTCCAATGACCCAAACGAGCACCACCTATACTCGCCATCTGCCCGTTATCGCTGGACACCTTGGTTCCTGCGCAAATTCTCAGTAGCTATTTGGATTATCGTTGTCTTCGCCCTCTTCATCGCTTTTGTCGCCGTCAGCTTCATCAACAATGCCATCGAGAGCGGCTTCCCTCCCAGGCTTCCAACACTCCCATCGACAACTGCATTCTCCTCCTCCAATTTCCTATACAGCTTCATTCCCGCCCTGATCGGCAACGTCCTCTTCCTCGCCTGGCAACCAGTCGACGTATACTTCCGAGCTCTCCAACCATACGCCGAGCTCTCATCCCCCAGCGGCGCATCTGCTGAACGGAGCATTCTACTCTCTTACCCATCCTCCTACCCCCTCCAAATAACGATCCAAGCCATCATCAACCGCCACTTCAAAGTCGCATTCATCTCCCTCATGAGTCTAATATCCCTTGGCATCCCCATCCTCGCTGGTGGCGTATTCATCGCCCTCTGGTTCCCCTCCCACGACGACATCCGCATTTCCGCCTTTTTGCCTGCATTCTACGCTTTGATTGGCTTCTGTGGTCTATATGCTCTATCTTTTGTGGCAATCTGGCCGGGTCGTCGTCGCTACCTCCCTCATGATATCACTACCTTGGCTGATCTGATGAGCTATCTTTATCAGTCGCCTCTTCTCTCTGATAAAATCCTGCGGGAGCCGAGGAGCAAGACTGACCTCGTCACTCGTCTTATTGTTGCTCCGCCCACGGAGCGCCAGCTGCCTTTGTACGGCTTTGGCATTTATGTCGGTCGTGATGGTAAAGAGCATCTTGGTATTGATCGCTTCCATCGCCCTGGTCGCAGTGACATGCTTATTACCACGGGTAATATGAAATAATTTCCTTGACGACTTTTTAGATAACATCTTCTGTGATGTTATTATCATTTGCATTTTTTTATGAACAAACTTATTGACGATTTTTTGAAGCGCGCTGAATTATGAACATATGAGAATGAGACATGTTTTTTGAAGGTTTTCGGTTTGCGCTATTGTTATCTGACAGTTGCATACTCGGCGTTTTTGCATACTTTATATACTTCCGATTGATTGGCGTTTTGTTTTGGTGATAGATAGAAGATAATTCATTCAATGACAGCCTGGATCTACAGTTTCCACTTGAATCAATCGCATATGCACCACATTGAAGCCAATACTTGGACAATACTTAGATAAAAGGGTAGCTCGAACTTATACGCATGAGAAGTGTCAGAATTTGTAAATTGACATTGCGATTGACCAATTTTCATCATGAACTTTACTTTCTGCGCTATACTATCGCAATTGCTATGGAATACGCTTATTCAGTGAGATATCCGAGCTCGCCGATGATCTAGCCCTAAAAACCCCAATTATCATTCAACCTCATCTACGATGGAGCCATGTGTTGCTTATAATGTCCCGAAATGGGGTATTCCCAACCAGGCTGTCTATTTCGCATTGTTTCACAGAAACACGAGTCCAATTTCCACCAAATTGTTGCCATGTCCAGGTAGCCAACCTCCCAGATCCTCGGTGAGATTTGGGTCACGTGCTGATCTGCAATATCATCTCCGCCTCCGCACGGATTTGCTTCATTCACGAGCAGCAGGACAATCCCTCGGATACAGTGCTTTGAGTTATCCTCGCGAAAGAAAGCCATTATCAACCAACCTCTCCATTCAATCTCGCGTCGCTTTCCTTCGGCATTTATCCATTTCCAGATCATTCAGCTCTGTCTCGCATCACCCACCAAAAGATCCTCGTCTTCACACACACCCCGCATAACAATGGTATCACTATTCGGCTGGGGCTCAAGCCCAAAACCCGAGTCGAGCGAACCAAAACCCCAAGAAAAGCCAACACCCGATGAATCCGCACCCCCAGCACCACCAGCACAAACACAAATAGCCCAAGCACCCTCGCCCCAATCAAACACAAACCTCAAACTCTTCTTTGGAGGAATGACTTTCTTCGCGCTATCGGTATTAGTCACACGCCGCGCCTTCCATAAGAAACGCATGGCGTGCATGCCCCCATTCTACACAAGCTCGACGTACCACCAGCCGCACTCGAACTCCGCGGCCGACGCGTTCGAGGCTCTGAATCTGGCGACTCTCAATGTGGTCTCGTTCGGGTTGATGGCCGGCGGTGCAGTCGGGTATGCGTTGAATATTAATGGGCTTGAGGATATGCGGAGAGTCGTGCGGAATGGGTTGCAGGGTGGCAGCGATGCGCCTGTGAAGACTGATGAGGAGCTTGAGACGGAAGTCACTGAGTGGGTTACCAAGATCCTCGGTGATAAGTTTGAGAAGCAGTTAGAGAAGGAGAAGATGAAGAGGGCGTTCCGAGAGGATAAGGTCGATCAGGATACTAAAGAAAGTAATTGATTTGAGGGATCTTCAAAATATTCACATGTACACACACCACTCCGGGGCTACACTCTACTCATGATTTGATACCAACTGTACATTACACATATGCATTTACTGGGCGCGGATCGTCGATTACAATGGAAAGACACCCGAATGGGTGCGAGCAAGATTACATCGTACAGGTTCATTACATAGGTATCATAATCTTACATACAATCGGCCACCCAGTTATGGCACACAAGGTGAACATCGGATATTTCCCCCCTCACTCACTTTCACTTCAACCCGCCTTCAAACTTCAACCACTCCCACCCTTTCCACCCGTAATCGTACATTCAACCGCCCTGAATTAATCAGGGACGGTCCAGCTCGTCGTAGCGCTGGCGTGCGGCATCCTTGGTCTTCTCCAGGAATTCGTCGTACCGACCCCTGGTGTTCCGCCCAGCTTCCTCAGTTGCCTCACCCAGTCGACTTCCCTGCGCACCCAGTCCCACACCCTGGGCATAAATTTCAGTAGGAATCGGCTCGGTCACGCCGGTTCCTTGGGCACCGAGGCCAGATCCTTCGCGCCAGCCCATCTTGGTGAGAAGAGAAGCACCGATAGTGTTAGTCTGCACGGGTGTCTCCTCCTCCTCTTCTGGTTCGGGGGCCTTCTGGCGGGCATTGGCATCTTCACGTCCGAACGCCTGGCGACGCTCCTTTGCACGGTCTCGGTATTCTGCGGGCGCCTGCACGATATCCTGGGCGATACCCGCCTGCTTAAGCTGGTCTAAGCCCCACTTCATCGCCTCTTCATCGTTCAGTTCCTTTCGATGGCGTTCGCTGAAACGGTCGTGTACGTAGAGGTCTCCCGGGGTACCAAGATCGTTGAAGCACAACAGGCACCAGTTCCGTTCCAGGTCTGCAAAGGATCGAGCGGTTGGAGGGATGGAATATTCTCGCTCAAGTGCGTCGCGGTATTCGTCTTTGCTGCCTTCATAGTTTGGAGTCGGCATGGGAATGACACCATAGATAATCAACCAGCATACACCAAGCTCCCTCAATTTGACATCCTTCAGCTTTTCGCGGTGGATTGGACTGGCGTACGTGTGCCATCTGAGATGTCCAATATCCACAAAATCTTGCATGCACAAGTAGCAGCAGAGCTTTTCCCAGTCTGCAAATGATGGACGCGGTAGATTAGCTTCATGCTCCGAGACAGGCAATCCAGTAGTAGCTGGAGCAGCCGATTCAGTTGTCAGAGCAGCCGGTTCCGTGTCTGGAGCTGCTGACTTCGAGCCCTCTGCGGGGTTTCCAGCATCATCTCGGTTGATTCCATGTAGCTCAGCGTGACGGTCACTCCAGAATTGGAGCTGGGATGGCATTGCAAGTTTCTTAGTATTCGCACTGGTCGTAACATCGGCTTTTCTCTTTTTTCCCTTATCGGAGTCCTTTGTGCCCTTGGCTTGGCCGTCTCCATGGTTGGAAGCTGTCTTGTTGGCTTTCTGCTCCTGGGCCGCATCATCTTCCGCGGTTGACAGCACAAGTTCCGTCACATACGCTGCATCATCCCAGTACATCAACTTCAGCAATGGGTTGTTAGATGGGCTGAATGTGTAGTAGCTAGCACCGGATTGGGCGTTCATGACTGGAACAAACACTCCGCCATGAATGTAGGTGACCAACACCGGCTTTGAGGAGATGGTAAATTTTTCGAAAGACTTGAGTCGCGTCATTGCAGCTTGTGCATCCTGGAATGTGTTAGAGTTGGAAAACAAAAAGAAAACCAATATAGGAGACGGATGAAACAAGCATACCTTAATTCCCGCGAATTCTGCGAATCCGTAACGCCAGCTGGCATTGGTTCTGCGATCACGCACAAGGAGCACGCGACGGAGAGAGCCTTCACGCGCTCCCAGGTTGCTGTCACCAGTGGTTGAGGCTACCTTTGATCCCTTCTTTTGATTATCAGGGGCGCTATCATTGGTACCAGATGGCCGATACAGTTTGGCAACTCCTTTTGCAAGAAGCTCCTCTGTAACAGACGCCTCTAAACCACGGATCAGGAGGAACTGGGAAGGCTGGGTCTCAGGAGCGACATCATTGTCACCATCATTAGCCATCTTGGGAGCCGGAACTCCAGGGGGGCCGGTAGGATCCATATCTGCTTGGATGGTTAGTGCTGGAAGGAGAGATGGATGAGGGCAGAGATGGGTGAGAGCAGAGATGGGTGAAGGGAGGGGAGGTGATGGGGTACGCACCGGGTCGTGAGTCACCGCACTTGAAACAATGTGGACGTGTGGAAAAGTTGAGAACGAGACACTGATGTTGTAAGCGCAGAACAATAAGTGCGTAGGTACCTCCGAGCTGGGAAGGAGTATTCCAGGCCAGGGCCGCCGCGTTTACTTACCTTCCTGCAGTTCCAGTCGCTTGCACCTTTTGCACGAGCTCTGTCTTCTCTCTCACGGCTATAAGCGATGCGTACTTTAGTACTTCTGTCGTTTGTAGGACCATAGAAGAATATGGAAGGGTGGTTGCGTTCGACAAATTCGCGGGATGCGTCAATTGTGGAAAATCGCAGGAACCCTAGTTGCCGCGACAACTCTGTTGAACACAATATCAGGTTAAAACGATGCATATTCTTCAAGATTGTCTGCCACTTTCACATACTCGTCTGTCGGTCACGAATGACCCGAATATCTTCCAGGCCGTTGATGTGATAAGCATTGCTGAGTTCAGCCGCGATCTGTGTATTAATGAGCACATTGTCAGCATTTGTCGTCGACAACGCAGATATCCAAACTCCTGATCCGGCTGATCTGCCTGGCCGGCTCACTAAGTTTAATAACTCACATGTTCTTCTGTCATGTCTACTGGAAGACCATCCATCATGACTTCTCGGCTCACCTGTCCCATATGGGGCTGGCCTCGACGAGGGCTGCGAGTTCGACTTCGATTGCCGCTCGCGCTTCGATAACCCTCTCGGTCTCGGTCTTTGTACGTGTTCCTGCCCCTATGGGGTGATGAATTTGAAGTTCGACGGCGATAATCATCGCGATCATTGCTACGGTAGCCTTGTCCAGATTCTCGGTCTCTGGGGTACTCGACTCTGCTGTCGGCCGCTAGTCTTCGAGGAGGCGAGCGTGCACGATCTTTATTCATCAATTCGAATGAAAATGAAGTCAGCCTCAGTTCAATATGATGTGGAGAAGTTGGCACTGTGCCGAAGGTGTGCATGGGCTTATACACCATTGACGTGCGGGGAGAAGCTTACCAGGCGAGCGAGATCGCGATCGATCATCATACATGCGCCCATCGCGATCATTCCGCGAAGGAAAGGGTCGACGAGCAGGTCCCGAGGGAAATTTATCATTCCGATACGGAGGCGCCATGCTTCAAACGCATTCGAAAGACGAGTGTGAGAAAGAAGGTGAATGACAAAGGTGTGTATGTGAGGTCCAAGTCTCGGAAGGATAAACCAAGCTACGATAACGATAAGGGATCCACTCCATTGACCTCGGAATAAGGTATTCCCGCTCCTACAGCAGTCGATCTTGTGACAGTGTCGATCTTGTGACAGTGGGACCTCCGAAGTATTGGGCCGCACTACAGTACCTTCACATACCGCCTTTCGTGTGGAGGTACACAATTCCACCCAATACTTTGGTGTCCCACTGTAGATCTACTATGGAGGTGGGTGAGTCTTTTAGGGTACAGAGTAGACTGTTGTAAGTAGTGTTCCGCAAAGCCCATAAATGGGCCCGACCAGCAGTGGGCTCTGGGCCTAAGTTTCGAAGCCCTACCCAACCCAAAGCCCATCAATGGGGGCCCATAAGGCCCCCCCAAGGGGGGTTTACCCAGCATCTTGTAATCGCCGTATTCTAACTTTCTACTTATTATATAGAGTTTAAATTTTTAAAATTTATAATAGTTACAGCCATATAAGAATACATTTTAAATTTTAATAAAATCTAATAAGTAGAGGTCGAGACACCGTAAAAAATATATATTTTGATATATATTTTAGATTTATATAGGAGTACTACTACTTTGTAAGTAAAATTCTATAATTTATAAATTATCGAAATAATATAGTTTCTTACGTTTTTAAACGTGATATAGAGAGATAACTAGTAATTAATTCTAAAAGATCTAAACTAATAAATATATTTCGATGCGTCTCCTTATTAATATAGGTATAACAGTAAGGGCATACGTATCGCGTAGAGTGTTGTAAATAGAACTGGAAGACACACCGGTTTGGAAAAGAGAGATGATCTTATCTTTATAGGGGCTAGGATCGATGGTTGGTCGTACCATTGTAAAGTGTACGTAGATATACAGCAGAAGTTGAAATCAGTATACAAATTGATATTAGTGTATATGCTTCGAGAAGGAAGTGATAAAATAGGCTGTAAGGCAGCCTGCAACGAGAGAGTTTTGTTCGGGTAGTCCCATTAGTCGCCCGTAGGTATGGTAGATATGTATTTAGTACATGAGATCCTTCTATTGCATCTATTCAATATTTCTATCCCAAGGACACGGAAGGGACTCATCGGTGGGAAATGTTTCTCGTTGGCCGAATGGTAAGACCAATGGCTCTGGTGGCCATTGTGTCGACTGGTATGGAACTTTCCAGCTATGCGATCCTGATCCAACCTGTTTCACTTCGCCTGATCCTGGCAACTTGACGTCCGCCGTGGTGTTAGGAGGAATTCGAACCTCAAGACAAATACTCTCATCCTGCGATTCTGAATCTTGCATAATCTTCCATCTCACTCTATACATTCCATATCCACTTAGGTATTGGCCGTCCGCCCATTTCAAACCGCCTCCAGGAATAGGTTCGATTTTGATGGTCTTCCAGCCGGCTTCCTCAATGCGCAATCCGATAATAACACTGTGCATCCAGCTTGCGACAGCTCCCAAGGCATAGTGATTGAAGCTGGTCATGTCCCCTGGATTGATTAAGCCATTGGGCAACATACTATCCCAACGTTCCCACACAGTAGTAGCTCCCATGGTCACCGGATATAGCCAGCTTGGATTCATCCGGGACAGGAGCATACGGTAGAATACATCAGTTAGTCCAACTTTGGACAAAGCATGGCCAATATATGGGGTACCAGCGAATCCTGTACCAATTTTGTATCGGCTACTTTCCAGTATAATACTAGACAGGTAGCGAGCAGCGTGTAGTTCTTGCCTTTCGGACGGAATCAGGTTGAACTGAATCGCAAGTGCTAACGCGGTTTGAGTGCAATTAGCCACAAGGCCAGCTGGGGTGATGTATTCGTGACTGAAAGCGGATCGAATCTTCTCGGATGCCACTGTGTATGTCTGGGCATCTGCCTTCTCCCCTAATATGCCACTGATGTTCTTCATCAATGTGGTTACATGAGCGAGGAACGCGTCTGAAACAAAGGTTGGATTGGTGGTTGCTTTTCCGCAGTCATCAGGAGGAGCAGCAGGATCGAGCCAGTCTCCAAGTTTCCAGTCGGAGATATAATTCCACAGCAGATTTTCACGACGTGGGATGACATCCAACCAGTCCTTCATACTTGAATATTGTCGAGATAGCACCTGTGAATCACCGGTCGCTCGATACAAGGACCAAGGGAGCATCACGGAAACGTCTCCCCAGATCGCATGTGCATCTTGATTGAAGCCATCAATCACATTTGGAACTACCAGCGGTACAATCCCTCCAGCCTCCTTCTGTTCATACTTGAGGTCATCAAGCCAAGTCTTCAGAATCCCTCCAGTACGGTAGAGATAGTTCCCCGCATCAGCAAAGACATTGATGTCACCGGTCCAACCAAGTCGTTCGTCTCGCTGCGGACAGTCGGTTGGTATCCCGACGAAGTTCCCTCGCATTGACCAGGAGATATTCTCATGAAGTTTGTTGAGCAGAGGATTCGAGCATGAGAATGAGCCTGTTTTCTTCATGTCTGTATGGATCACAATGGCCTTCACGGAATCTGTGCTCAGGGCACCTGGCCAGTTATCCACTCCCACATATCGGAAGCCATGATACGTGAAATCTGGCTCCCATTCGAGAGTGCCATGGCCATCCAGGATTACACTATCTCGGGCCTTCGCATTCCGCAAGGTATGGGTGGCGCATTCTCCATCTTCAAGTACTTCAGCGAATTGGAGCTGGATTTGATGTCCTGTGGTACCTCCAGAGACCTTGATTCGAAGCCAGCCCACCATGTTTTGCCCCATGTCAATGATAGATTGGCCGGAAGGACTCTTCAGAATCGCAATAGGTTGGATCTCTTGGGTGCGCCTTATTGGTGGACCATCCGGGGATTCAAGACGATCGGTTATTGGTCTGCAAGCCACTCTCCCCCACTCTGTGTCCTGAGACAATGACTGGTTTGCGTCGAAGACTTCACCATCATATAGCTCTGCAGAAATAGTTGGTCCATATCCCCATTGCCATTCGCTGTCTGTTCCCATCGTAATAGAGTCCCCTTCCTCGTACTCAATTCGAAGGAGAGCAACGAGTCCAAGGGCAGAGCCGTATATATTCGTCTTCCCAGCACCCCAGCCAAGGCGCCCACAGTACCACCCTGGGGCAACGGTGATATGAAACGTATTGAGGCCGTGATCCACAAGAGAGGAAACATCGAATGTTTGATATGTGAGCCGGTTGGTGTAGTTGGTCCACCCCGGCGACAGCACGTGGTCACCAACGGAGCTTCCATTCAGCTTAGCGGTATAAATGCCGTGAGCAGTAACATAAACACGAGCCCGACGGATGGGTTTCTGAAGAGAGAATTCTCGCTTGAATACTATCGGCCGATGATAATTCTCCATCCGCTCTGCGGTCTCAGCTTCAATGATATGGCACTTCCAGTCATCCTGATGAAGTAGGCCAGTTTCAACTCTTGCTATGTCGGACCATTCTGTCAAGTTACCCTTCTCATCTGAAGCGCGAACCCGAATCAGGGCAATTTCCATTGACAACAAGGGCGTTGTAGGCCATGGAACAAAGAGACATTGGTTTGAGTGAAAGTCAAACGTTTGCGTGGCCCCATCGCGCGAGATCTCAATGGCGTAAGACTGTTGCATCCAGTTCTGATCTTCTCCTGAGTAACTCCACGAGATCCGAGGGCAATCTTCTCCTATACCAATATCCCTTGCTTCATGATACTCGAAGCGGATATCGATGACCTTCGGCATTGTGAAATGGCAAATTGATGCGTTGAGACCTCCAGTACTTCCGTGTAGGTTGTCGTATAGCAGGAAAGAAGAATTCCCTCGCTACATGCCAAATTTAGCTGCAAGATAGCCAAGCACTATCACCTCCATGTCTCGGGGGGAGATAACCCGGCAAATGCGAGTTGAGATGAACCTGGTGATGCGTCTAAACAATCACAACCGATAAATTAAAAGTAGAGCAAACTCCCGAGGTCAATCTTGGAATCTACCCAGGTAGGCATGCGGGGATCGTCCAATGAGAGGCATAAATCGCCGCAATGGCTGGTTTAATGATATTTTATTGGACAATGAAAGGCCATTGTGGAGGACTTAATACCAGATTGGTAAAGTTAATTTTTACTTTCCATGATTGCCCACGAGGCTAATATCTGAGAGTAGCCAAACCCGTTGCATTTTACAGAGTACTCCGTGCTTATTTCTTAAACCCGACAAAACGCGAAACCCCGATTCATCACTATCCCAATTTCGCCAAGTAGTCCCCCGAACAAATCTCTCGGCAATTCCTCATTCCTTTCTATCCGTTTCCCCATGGGGCTCCCCGCTTTCCAGGAAATAGCCCGAAGAAAGACAGAGTGCAGGTCAAATTTCATGAAGCCTGCCAGTTTCGGCTTGGTTTTCCGCGAAAACCTCCGCTGTCTACAACCCTCCTCATTCCTTTCTCGTCCCCGCAATCTCTGTGGAGCAACGGGAATTAAACTTCCTTCCCCGGATTCGTGGACATAAAATGGGGTTGTTGACCACCGTTCAACCTTTTTTTCATCCAGGTTGCTCCCATTACTATTTTATATCATACTCCTCGTTGATTTCCACTATGCAGTCCCGTCTTCGATTGCTACTTTGTGTAGCTGCTATCTCCCTTGGCGGTGCTGTGATCGGTATTGACACCGGAATCATCGCAACAGTGATTGCACAGGATTCCTTTAACAACTTTATGTTCCCACCGGGGACCAAGAATGCGTCTAGTCTTCTAGGGGCAATTGTTGCCATGTCTTCAACAGGCTCAGCAATAGGTTCTTTGCTTTGCGGACTCACCCTCGAAAAATTGGGTCGCAAGTACACTATCATGATCTCGACCCTGTTTACCATCGTTGGGGCGGTGTTGCAGACCGCCGCTAATGGAGTGATCATGATGATTATAGGCAGGTTGATCTGCGGTATCGCAACTGGAATTCTCAGCCCCTCCATCTCGGTTTACATCTGCGAATTAGCCCGACCACAGGAGCGAGCGAGATTCATTGGAATCTTCGGCCTCATTATGGCGATCGGATTCTGTATTGCGAATTGGATTGGATATGCATGTTCCTTCGCCCATACTTCTCACATATGGCGTCTTGAATTAGCTATGCAGTTCCCTGTGGCAGTGGTGTTGCTCGTTTTCTGCATTTTCCTTCCTGAATCCCCCCGTTGGTGTATGTATAACATCCCCATGTCGCAGTTAACTTGTCACCTCTAACATTTATTTTACTGTAGTGGCGCAAAAGGGCCAGGCAGAGAAGTTTGAAGCCGTCATTCGTCGCATATACGAGTCGGAACCCGAAGAAGTCATCCTCAAATTGCAACTTGAAATTCAGAGCCAACTTGCCATCGAAGCGGCAGAGCGTGAGAATTCGACTCTCGGCCATGCCCTGATCGAGTTATTCAGCAGGAAATTCATCAAGCGGACAGCTCTTGCCATTGCCGTCATGCAAGTTGGAATTCTCAGTGGTTCCCTCGCTATTCAGAACTACCAGTCTCTCATGTATGAGGCTCTTGGGTTCAACGGTACAGAGGTTCTTCTAATCAGTGGCTGCTATGGTTTCATGGGAGTCATTGGGCAATTGATAAACCTTGCTGGGGTTTCTGATCGCTGGCCTCGGGTCCGCACTATGTGTAAGTTATTCTTACTGTCATACTTTTGCGTCCTTTTCCCTCCATGATTGAGACTCACTTTTAGTAACATGCTGTTAACTTTGATACATAGGGGTTGGATGCGTTGTTCTTGCTGCCATGTTATCCATACTAGCAGCACTTTCTAAAGAATACGGCAGTGGCAACAATATTGCTGGTGCTCGTGCTGGGATAGCATTCATCTTCATCTACTCAGCATTGTACGCTGTATTTTTCAATTCTACTTTATACACAGTCGCCGCAGAGACTTTCCCTCAGCATTTGCGTGGTTATGGGACTGGCGTCGCAGCGCTTTGCCAAGGCGTCTCTGGCATTTGGATAGGTCAAGTCACCCCTTACGCATTTGATGCGATTACTTGGAAGTACTACTTTGTTTTCATTGGCTCTCTTCTCGCCCTGGGTGCACTATATGGCACTTTCTTAGTCGAAACAAACAATGTTTCTTTGGAAGAAATTGCAGGAAGGTTTGGTGACCATGTTGTCTCTTCTGATAAGATTGATAACGCCATTGAGGAGAAACGAGCGGATCGGACAACAGAGCATATTGAAGGGTAATTGGTAGAGCTCCGCAAAGCCCGCAAAGCCCGCAAAGCCCATAGCCCAACCTAACCTAACCCACAAATGGGCTGGGCTTTGGGCCCGGGTAAGGGCCCATTAAGCCCAATTAGCACCAAATAATACAAACGTTTTGCAAAACATGAAATTTTTGTTTCCTTATGTTTAGACCCCGTTTCTAGCACTTATCTGACGGTAATATTTTAGGGCGTTATTGGAAGGATAACGGTGCGATTTCAACGAGAAAACTAAGCTGGGGAGGAGAAGAAGGAGAGAAGAGAGTAGAGAGTGTGTGAGCGGATGGAGAATCTCTAAATTCATTCATGGCCGAAGTAGAGTACCATACTATCACGAAGAAAAAAAATGAGTAAAATATTTTTCTCTTTATCGAGGAATACCAACAAGTCGCTATAAGCACAGTGTCAAGGCGCTCTGGTATTTTTGGCCATGACGACTCGGTATAACTTGGAGCTTGAATCATAGGCTGAAAATAGTTGTTCCGTTGATCGCCGGGTTCTTTGTTAGGAGCCTGAATTTCCATCCAGACAATGATTTCTGGGTCAAACGACTTGTCTCCCATCGTTTCGGGTCGATATTGTATTGGTGAGAGCACCAATACTCTCCTTGAATTGAGTGAAGGATTAAATGTGAGGAAACTGGAGAGAAACAGAGACTACCTAGAGCTAGACCCGTGTGCCTTGCCAAGTAGCAAGTCCTGTTTAGGACCGAGGCTGCCAAAAACTGAGTGGTTGGGGGGGGG